TTATTATTATTATCATTATTATTATTATTATTATTATTATTATTATTATTAGTAGTAGTAGTAGTAGTAGTAGTAGTAGTAATTTAATTTTTTAATCTCTTATATTCCCTTCTGGTATAAGTCCTTCATTTCCTCAGCAGTGGTTCCCATCAGGACGTTTACACTGAGACAAATAATCCAATTAGGTCTTGAAATGTATGAAGGTGGAAAAGAAAGACAGAGAGAGAGAAAAAGAAAACAAATGAGAATGTTACAGAAGCCGATAAGATGTGTGAGGATGAAGCATCTCACCTCATTATGTTTGGTAATTAACCCATGTGGTCTTCTCCCTAATTATTAACACGCAGCTTCATCATTACTGGGATTAAAGTAGCCTAAACAATAACACTAATGCCACTCTTTAAGGGGAAGAAAGCACAACATGCATTACAGCACTTTCTTTGCTTCGTCTGCATTTATTAGCACCTGGAGAAAAAAAGACTGGTCATTATTTACCCCTTTTCTGCATGTGTTTGTCTTTCTGTTAGCAAAAAAAAAAAAATCTCATGAGCCACTGAGCAGGCATTACTTAAGATCTCAGAAAGTAATCAATGGGCATAAATATATGACTCGTGTCAATCCATTTCAGGGCTGGCCCTAGCCACTTTGGTGCCCTTGGCAAAAATTGTGCAAAACACAAATTATAAACAAATGAAAAGTATTGAAACACAATATAAATAGCATATGCACATGAAAATTATTTGTACTAGTAACTCATATAAAATAAAATAAAAAATTACACTGTATTTAGACTAAGAATCCGAAAGAATTGAACATTGCACAAATACAGTTTACTATCATAACAGCTGAGAAACCCAGAGGACAAGTTACCTTCATATACTTGAGTTAGTAGTGATTATTCCACAGACTAAAACAACTATACTCTGATAAAAAGTTATAAAATATATTTTTTCACCCCCATTTGTGGCGCCCCCTAGACAGACGGTGCATTTAGTGTTTGCCTACACTGCCTATACCACAGGCCAGCCCTGATACCCTTCAAATATTAATAAGTCATTCAGTTTCACAGATAATGAGTTACTATTTGGTGTGATAATATTTGAGTGATGCTCAAATTGAAGTTGTAGAGCTAATAGATCATGTAAGATTTCTTTTTAACCTTTTGTAAATGAACACTACGCACCTGACTGTCATGTTGGAGGGTAACAGGTGAACATGTCAAACCACAATAGTTCTGATTTTAACCATTGCGGGAGTTTTGGGTATATTCTAAAAATGGATAATTTGTGAATGTATTTGAATGTATTATATTTAAATATATTTTTCCTCGAGGCACCACGTTCTTTAATTCGATCAAGGATTGACCCAGGAAAGAGATGAAAAACTGTAACTTTTTTGTAATCAGTCTCACAATAAATTGTACCCAAAATGATTTTATGAGTTCTTGTCTTATCAGAACCAATAATATCTCTCATCAAGACACAAAAATGAGATTAGCTTATGTTGGCACATTCTCCACGAGCCATTTATTTACAGATTAAATGCATTTACAACTATGGCGAGTCATGAATAAGTGATGACATGTATATGCAGGAAAAATGCTACACCATTCAGCTCATTCATTTTATATATTACCAACAGCATAAACAACAATAAGGCACACAGAACAACATAAATTAAATAATGCTAACTGTTGTATCACAGACCAGATAAACAAACAAACCATATAATAAATAATCCACTTACTTTATTGAAAATGCATGGAACAAACTTGCATGTTTGCAGATATGTGATTGAATGGGATATTGTAGCTGCAGACCAGGCTAACCTGCGTCTCCAGCTCATAGCGTCCATTTGCAGTCCACAGGTTTTTCTACAGACAGGGAACCTGAAACATTTTATGACAGAGTGACCCTTTTTACTCAAACAACCTTTTACGTAACACCAATGTTTTTTTTTTAATAAAATGCACTCCTTACGTTGGAATAAGATGAAAACCATCCTGTCAGAGCTAGGCAGCTAGCAGCTAGCAGCAAGTCTGGTGTTATCCTTCTCTCAATACCCACAATGCACCAAGCGTGACATCACATGCAAAAAAGCCATTGGGGCCAACATTGTCTGTTAGTAAAATATGGACAGATTTTCATTAAAGTTTTAGAAAATAAATTAGACATCAACAACTCAATCCATGATGTCTTCTACAGACAACTGATAAAAAAACATAAAAATGTCAGAGCACAACGTCTTTGAAGCTTTTGCATTAACTGTTGGCATCAACTTTATTTGTCTGTTAGATGAAATATCTTTTTTTTAAATCAGATGAAATATCTGATGAACCACATAATGGATTTTAATGAAACTCCCAGAAAGTAATGAATGGACATTCATCTACAACTAATTAACCTTTGGAGTCAACCCAATCTAAGGCTGCCACAGCTAATCAAACTCAGCAGACACAAAAATGACTCTAACTCAGTCAAATTTATATAACTTTGAGCTAAAGTTTGATGTTGTAGCAGCTGACAGTCATGCTTGGAGAGGAAAACAAATCTTGCAATATGACATTCGATTGCATCTCACAGCAAAGTTGGACCAAAACAGCTACAGCGTTGTGCCTTCTCATCATAAAGTAATCTTAGTTTAAGGAATGCTAGATCTTTGATTTGTTTTTAGTTTTTAAAATAAATGCTTTCAATAAATGACCATATGTAAGATTTATTACCTTATCTGAGTTTTTTTTTGAACAGCTTTTACTGCTAGCAGCTCTCTTTCATCCTCACAGCTGACCTGCATTTGGCAAATTTAAAAATATCTTCTATGATGCAGGGAAATTATTTTCCTAGCATTTCCTTCAGGCTTTCTCTTGGGTCTCTTAGCAACAGGTCTGCACGAGGGCTGCAGCGATTGGGAGGCTAAGCAGTGTCCCCCATCTCAAGAGCCCTATAATTACTGTAATGGAAAGGAACCTGTCTCAATATAAAACCCACCACCCCCATCCCTCCATACACACACCTGTGTACTGTAGATCTTGGAAGGGTTAAACTGTTTGTGTGATTTTTAAGCAGCATGTAAATGTGCACATGTTAAGACACTGAGAGGTGAGAGGAACACAATGTGTCCATCAGAGCCAAGCGCCTGTTTAGCTTGTTCGGACACCCTGTTATACCCTCAAATATACACGCACATTAAAATGCACAGACTGCACATTAGGCTAACACGTGTCATCATGGGAGAACCGGCTTGTTGCTGCATTGCTGAGAACAAACAGGGAGACACGGGAACTGAGAAAAAGAAACAAGCTGAGCAGTGGAGGAGGCAGAGGAGGTGGCAGGGAGGGATCGCGAGTAGCTCAAGGGCAGATGGGTGCGGGGGGAAAAATAAGATATTTTACTAAGAGGCCTCCATGAAGAAGCAGAAACTGTATTTTTAAATCAGCATTGTGGGCATGAATGTGTGTCTTCTGCGGTGCACATTTCAAAGGCAGACACATGTATCTCACCTTGTATTGTGTGGGCGGACTTGCTGAGCGAGCTGGAACAAGTTGTGCAGAGTGATAGAAAATATTCCTTTAGGCTAAATACTCATGTTCAACGAGTACTCCTTAAAGACATTGCCCACTGGCTTGCATGCATAGATAGTTCTAAATAAAGATGTTGCTCTTGCTAATGATCAAAGAATTTGACTGAATGTCTGCTGCTGACGTGCTGCAGTTTAGCTCAGAATCTGTAAAACTGACTGATTTATGAACATTTCTGTGCTTGTTAGGGTCTGTTTACTGTGGCAGASATCTTAAATTGGGTTGATTCCAAATGTGAATCATGGTTGTCAAACTCATTCAGAGGGCCACATGAGCATTATGGTTGCCCTCTACGAGACAGTTTGAATTAACTTTGGCTGAGTACTGATAAAAAACAATAACTAAGCTCTATGTGGTATTTTGTGCATAAAAACAACATTTTAACACGTCCTCCTATAAACACTAATGCTACGTTCACACCGAATGCGATTTCAGCTTCAAAATCGCATCCAACGCTTCAAGTTGGACGCTTGTGCACTTTGAGGTCAGACGCAGGTCAGCTCTTGAAGCGCTGCACGGCAAGAGCCTCCCCGCCCCTCCCTCCTCTGTCGGGCTCTGTTTAATGTTGGAACAGGAAGTGGCTTTGCTTTATTTACAGAGAGCAAGAGCATGTCACGTTCATCAGATAATTAATTCATAATTAATTCACCAGATAATTCAGAGACATTTTGAGTTTCATCACCCAGGAGCTGCGGGAGAGGCTCACAGCTCGCTTTCAGGACTATTTTTGTCCCGAGTCCAGTCTGATGAGTCGCTGCCATGTATTGGTGCGGATATCTCCTGTCAGGACACCGACTGCAGGCACTCGATTTCAGATAAAGCTCTCCATCTGTTTCAGGTTAGTGGACATCATTCAGTAAACTGTCCCGTCGGGAAATATGTCGCTACGTCACACAGTGGAGTCTCTCTGATTGGTTGTCGCGACGCGTCGAGCTGCAAAAGTTCAGATTTTTTAACTTCAGCGATTTGCGCCTCAGRGTGTCGAACGCTCAAATCGTTCAAATCGCGCTGCTCTAATCGCGCTTGAGGCGCTGCAGCACTTCCCGACGCTGATTGAAGCGCGTCCACCATAGACTTTGTATGTAAACCTGATGTTCCTGATGCTGAAATCGCGTTTGGTGTGAACACACCATAAGTGTGTATTCACACCAGCCCTGTTTAGTCTGCTTTAATCAAACTCTAGTTTATTTGCCTAGAAAGTCCTGTTCGTTTGGGGAYGTGTGAATAGAACTCTGATACGACCAAAAACACAAACTCTGGTCCACCTAAGCAATAAATGTCTTGCTTTGGTTAAAGTAAACTGTGATGCAGTTCGAATGCACGTGTGAATGCCAAGCAGACAATAACACAGGACATTCTGAGTAATATAGTAATAAAGTCACTCAAATACCTCACTTGACATCTGTAGCCTATGAGGTGGACATCAATGTTATGAAGGTGGATGAGCTCCTGCTCAGTGAACGCCACCTCATACGGAGTGATCTCAGCCGCCATGTGTGAAAAACTACATTCTCCATGGTTCAGTACAACTGGGGCGAAAATGCAGAGAAGTGGAGATTTTACACAGCAGATTACTATGCACCTCCACCTAGTGGTGGGATGCTGTCATTTTGCGGGAAAAAATTCAGGCCACATAAAATACAGTGATGGGACACATTTGGTCTGTGAGCCTTAAGTTTGATAAATTAATGTAATGTACCTCTAGTCATTACTTTAAAAGAGTTTCATTAAAATTCATTCACTGGTTCATAAGGTTTTTTTTTCTGAAATACACACAAAGACAGACATAAACAATTACATTGTTGCCCACCATTTATAGCTGTAGGAGATTAAAACAACTTTATTTTATATAATAATGAACATGACAAACTAAAACAGCACATTCTCAAAGCATCAGCTCACAGTAATCACCCTTAATGATATTTAACACCATGAGCCTTGCAATTCTGTTCATTAGATTTAAATATGATGTCTCATTTTCTGTCAGGATTCCTCCTAAAACACACTTTCTATTGGAAACCCGCCCCATCCTAGCCTGGCCCTTGCCTTCCTATGAAGTTCCGCTCAATTCTCTTTCCCCTTCACTGCTCCATGTGGGATTTCTCCCGCAGACAAGGATTTCTTAGGAGAATTTTCGTCCGGACCAATCAGAAAACAGAACGTTGATTTTCTGCACAGAGTCTGCTTGTAGTTTATTTTACCTGGGCCAATCAGCAAACAGAAGGCGAAGTTTTGAACAACGTCGATTTTCCACGCAGTGTCTGCTAGTTATTTTAGCATACAGCAGTGGAGGAAGTGAATGAAGCCAGTCCGTGTTGATAAGGCTTCCAAATTAAATTAAATTTGTCTGACAAAGCAGCAGCTCTCATTTACAGTCGTCTCATTTGGCTCAGTACTTCTCTCCTCTCAGTAAGGTTGTTTACAGCGCACGTGATTCCCGGTTAGCTTCTTAGCTTAGCCTCCTTCACAGTGGAGCTGGCGTAGTGTTGCAGCCAACCAAACCAATCATTTTAAACTTCAGCAGAGGCCACGCCTCCAGCAAGAATCACTTCTCTATAGCTGAGAGTCCAGACCCTCGTATGAAGCAAAGCGAAGGACAAGGGTCTGGTTTTTACCAGGCTAGCTCCATCCTAAAGGCACCACCTGAAATGCAAATGAACTCTGGGACAAGAAAGGAAAATTCTACTAAATCTGCTCCAGCTCAGTCGTTTGTTTGTGTCATTTCCACTCAGCCTCCAGCTAAGGCCACCTTCCTCCAGAGACCAGAGTGGTTACTATGGTGAAGGTCTGTGGATAAGACAGAAGAAGTGTTTACTTATATCACTCTCTGTTTCCTTTTCTCTGTGTGCCAAGACTCGCTAAGAGCACCCTGGACTGACTTCTTTCAGAACATTAAAAAAAAAAGAAAAAAAAAAGAACAAAGACGTTCATGTTAGCTGTACCTCCTCAAGTTTAGCTGTGACACGGTCTGGATTTATCACTGGGTGATAGTGTTTTTGTCTGCTTCTTTGTGTTTGTTGACAGCAACATGACAGATTTTAAAGAAACTTTAAAATATATATCATTTGATTGATTTACAGTACATCTAAAAATGAATAAAATTTAGAGTCAATGCAGTTCAAAATTGCAGCCACAGCTAATCAGACAGCTTTAGTCATATTTATAGCACTAACTGCTCACACAAGATATTTATTTCAAACTGTATCTATTGCTTGTAAGCATTGATGTCTGTTGGCAAAATACTTCACAAACTAATAAGTGGATTTTAATAAAACTTTCAGGAAGTAATCACTAGATGCAAATTCAAGATGGCCGCCATAGCCAACTGAGCCTTTGAAAAACAGAAATGGATCCAACTCTGTCAGTTTTGCAGATATTGAAGTAAACCTTGGCGTGGTAGTAGCTGAGAGTCATTCCCAGCATCTACTATAAGGCCCAAACAAATCTCACTATACTGAGTTTGATCTCAGCTTAAAATATAAGCAGTAGGCAATATGCACTCTTTTAAGGAAAGTTAGGAGGCTTTTTTAGAGATGTGCTGCTGTGGGACCAGTGTGAGGCTGCTGGTGAGTCAGAGAGAGTGGGCCTGCTGTGGTAAGAACATACATCTATGTATAGATGAGTGTTTGAAGCCAGCTAAAGACTCTGACATCTGATTACATAACTGTATCGCTGTCATATAGAAAGAAAAGAAAAAGTAAATGCTTGTGGATGAGCGATTTGCTGTCCAGCCCACTTCATAACCAAACAATAAGTCTTTGAAGCCATG